AGAGAGAGAGAGAGAGAGAGAGAGAGAGAGAGAGAGAGAGAGAGAGAGAGAGAGAGAGAAAGAGAACACGATCTTATCACAGAATATCTCATTTTGTTCAAAAGGTTCGCCTCCTTAATCATAATTGTATTTGGTGGCCAACTAGGGCATATAATTGGCATTACTTCAGTGTGAAGACAGGAGATTTGATTAGTGAGTGTGATTCAGTGCAGGTAGTAGTTGTATTAGAAGCTGTCGTGTGTGTGTGTGTGTGTGTGTGTGTGTGTGTGTGCGTGCGTACGTTTATGTGTGACTTGAGAGAGATAGACAGAATAAGAGAGATATATAAATACAGAGAGATCAAGACAGACAGGCAGACAGGCAGACAAACAGATTGACAAACAGACAGACAGTCAGACAGAGTAGGTGCGCATGAGTTGAGACAAAATTATCATGGTCTAAAAGAACGAGCAAACGAAAAAGACAAGGAAGACAGAGAGAAGTAGTTTGGAGAAAAAACAAAAACGGAAATGGGGCAGTGAAAAAGACAAGGAGGGTGAAAGAGAGTGAGTAAGAGAAGAGAGAGAGAGAGAGAGAGAGAGAGAGAAACTAGAAAGCGATAAGAACATAAGAGAGAAATAAGACGGAGCGATAGAAGAGATAGCAAGATACATAGACAGATAGATCGTTAGATAGCCAGGTAGACTTTTTTGAGGGAGGGTAAGGAAATGTTAAGAAAAAAAAAAAAAGAGAGAGAGAGAGAGAGAGAGAGAGAGAGAGAGAGAGAGAGAGAGAGAGAGAGCAGTCAAACAGACAAGGAGAGTGAGAGAAAGTGAGTGAGAGAGAGAGAGAGAGACAGAGAGACACAGAGAGAGACAGAGAGAGAGTGAGAGACAAAGAGAGAGAGAGAGAGAGAGACAGACAGACAGACAGACAGAGACAGCGACAGACAGAGACAGAGACAGAGAGAGAGGGAGAGGCAGTGACAGAGGCAGAGCGACAGGCAGATAAAGACGAAATGCGTGAATGAAGATGTCAAAGAGAGACGGAAACTCGGGTTTCACGAACCCGCTGCTGGAGTCGCCCCAAGTTCAGAGTTTATGTGACAAAAGGTCCTGGCTCCTGGCTCGTGTTACGAGGACAAGCAAAGGTCTTTGAGCTCCTGATAAAACAAGCAGAACGACACGCCATGGGAGGTGCGAGGGTTACACAACAGGATGTGATGTTTTTGCGACGCAACTGCAATTTGTCTCGTATTTTCTCTCTTTTTTCCCAGC